GAGCAGGGTATGATGAACCCTTGAAGGAACTGCGCTGATTTGACCCTCTCCGTTGTTATTTATCAAAGTGCACCATTATTCTGTCCATAATTGCACACTCCATCTGTTTTCTCCCAGCACTTCAGTGACCGCCACCAAATTGGCTGTTAGATGCTTGCTCAAAAGGCAATTTCTTGGGAATATCCCATTTAGTTTTAAGAAGGGATTGGAAATCTTGAAAATGATCTTGGCACTACATTACTTCAAAAAGTCTCTAGACATCCCATTAGACCTATTAATTTTTAGAACACTTTTAAAAGAATAAATGGTATCATTTTTATAGGAAAAACACCCAGAATCTAATGTAAATAGCTGCATATTGATACACTAAAAAATAAACAGATCTCCCCTGACCCAGGGATTTATCTTTAACTCTGGGGAGACAGGATAAAGTGAACAATAGAGTCTTCTAGTGATGCTTTGAGATCACATCTCTCTCTTTTTATTCCCACAGCTGTACGGCTCTTTTTTTATGGCAGGGGTTCTCAAACTGAAGATCACAACCAACCTTCTTTTTCCATATTTCTAAGTGGGAGGTGGGTGCTAAATAGACAGGAAAAGGATCTTGGTATGGAAAAAGGTCTCAGTAGGAAAACATCTGAGAACCAGTGTTCTATCTTTAGTGTTCTTCTCCTGTCTTTAATGCCTAGATTTTTTAAGGTTCTGCCTCTTTCCTTTTGGCTCCTTGTCTTAACTAAAGGATTTTACTTTCTTCATCTCTTTCTTAGGACCAATCTCTTGTCTAAGGCACTCTTTTTGAAATCCCATTTCCCCCACTTCTCCAGGCTCATTGTTCTAATTCTATACGTCTTTCCTGACGTTCACTTGGCATTTCCCAAGGATCTGATCTGGGTCCAGTCTGTGTCAAAGCCATACAGCTGCTCACCCATGCTGCTTACTGACACCACACACCACTTTGCCTGTGTTGCCAATGCATGCCTCTGACATGTGCACAAAGCCTGGTCCCCCTGCCTGAATCCAGAGCAGTGTTCCCTCTGATGTTTTCCACACCTGGTGCAGAATGAATTTTGTTATGTGCACCAATGTGGAGATGACGTGTGACACGTCACCTTCATATTGAAGCACATAATAAAATTAATGTCAAAAGTGGGGCCAAGGTGTGTGGAAGGGGGCTTAGGTCTGGGGCAGAGGGTTGGGGTGCAGGAGTCAGAGGGCTCCAGCTGGGGATGGAGGTTCTGGGGTGGAGGTGGGGTTCAGGCTGGGGATGAGGGACTTGAGGTTCAGGAGGAGAGCTCCAGGCTTAGGGAGGGATTCAGGGCTGGGAGTTCAGGTACAGGAGTGGGGTACAGGCTCTGGGCTAGGGGTTGAGTGTGTCTGGGAATGAGGAGGTTGGGGTGCAGGAAGTGGCTCCAGTTTGGGGAGGGATTAAAGAGGGGCAGTGGGTTGGGACTTACCTGGGCAGCCCTTGGTCAGCGGTGCTAAGGCAGGCTCCCTGGTACATGTCTGTCCTGGGGCACCAAGCTGTGCCCCAGAAGTGGCCAGCAGGTATCCTAGAGGGTTGAGGCACGAGGCAGCAGGGTGGAGGCAGCCCACAGAGCCCTGCGATCCCCGCTAAGGAGCTGGACCTACTGTGCTGGAAACTTCCTCAGTGGTGGCAGAACAGAGCTGCTACATTTCTGCTCTGGAGCTGGCACCCCTCTCCTCTAGCCATGACACCTTCATGCTGGAGCTGATGGGTAAGGATGCCCCCCATTGTCCGCAGTAGTTTCAGGGCTTGAGGAGAGACATTTCTCCCTGCTGCAGCCTGAAGACCCGGCACAGGGCTTAATGGGAAGCTGTGTGGCCATGCAGCTTAGCAGAAATATAGGTCCAGAGGGGTCAGCCAGTGACTCAACTGTCTCACCTGTGCCCTCACACCTGAATCTCCCTCAGCCAGCCTTGAAGTATTCTGTCAAACAATTCTTACCCAGATGGATCAGAAGCATTTCTAGTGAAGGCCTCCATAATGAGAAGCTTACCAAGAGGAACTCGCTGGCAGTGTGCGGTTTTTGAAGCAGTGATAGTGAACAGGCTATTACTTTGAAACATTGTTAATTGATTACTCTCCAGCTCATCTGAAGGAGTGGGTTTTGCCCATGAAAGCTCATGATACCATATATATATATTTTAGTCTCTAAGGCAGTGTTTCCCAATTTTATTTGGCCATGGAACCCCTAGAATTGCCTTAAAAAAATGCCCCTGCTGCATTTCATTAAGCAAAAAGAAAAAAAAAGCCCTCACCATGGCTCTATCTCTTTAACAGGGGGTGGGGGAGTGCTGGCTCTTCGCAGAACCCTTGCTTTCGCTTCGTGGATCCCCAGGGTTCCCCAGAGCACCAATTGGGAAACACTGCTCTAAGGTGTCACAGGACTACTCGTTGCTTTTAAAGTTACAGACCAACGCGGCTACTCCTCTGAAAATTGTTACATACGGTGGCTTTGGAATGATAAAATAATACTTCCATCATAGCTCCAGTGAAATATACAGAATAAAGATTAAGAAGTGTCTGATTCTCATATAGAGTGAATTGGTCTAACTCACCACAACTAGGTTAGTTTACACCAGATGAAGATCATAGAATAATAGGACTAGAAGGGACCTCGAGAGATATGGCTGTGAAAGACCAATAGAAAGAATAATCTTTCCTGCTATTCTGCAGGTTTCTTATATGAGCTGGCTACCTCAACGTGCTTTATGCTATGGATGCACTGCTAATTTCTGAAAAGAAGAAAAGATTTCAAACAAAGATTCAAAGGATTTCTTATAAACATTTGTACCAATTATCTTAAACTCAAATTGTTTCACAAAACCCAAAGGGACTTAAGATTTTAATTTCTTTCTTCCCTCTTGTTTTTCTTCATTATTTGTCAAAGCCTAGTGGCTAATCCCATCTTAAACATGAATATAAAACAGACCTAACAGATGTTCTGTCTGCTGCAAAACTTTATTTAGGAAGACATGGTCTGCATGAAATATAAATGCGAAGGTCAAAGCTTTGGGATCATTGTTGGAAAGTACAAATCTCTGTCATTTTTTAGTTGTTATTATGATTTGTAGTTTTATGTGTGAGTTTCATGAGTGATTAAGTGTGTTGGCTTAAATCAGGGATAATGCTAGCAGCCATCATGCAAACTTCTACACTGCAAATGAACCTTCATCCTGACCTGCAGCACTGCTGTTATTGCACTCCTCACTTTCTCTTGAAGAGAGACTGCCAGTCATGCTGAGCTGTGCCAAATGGATTTTATTTTTTTCTGAAAGCCACAGCATCTGGAATGAAGCTGTCAGATACATTTTGACCAGAAAACACGGAAGATCAAAATTCTTCCTGGTTCTGCCACAACATTCTGAAAGTTATTTATTTTCTTGTACACACCTTATGTATGTGAATTTTGCGATTCACATATGTACTGCATGTGTTTCATATGTCATCAGTTAGTTTGTGTCCTCTGAAGATGCACAAGGTGAACTGAGGGTACAAGAAGATTCCTCTATGGTTATGTCCTTGCTTTGGGTCTGAACAGTACCCTAAAGTGCTTCTGTAAGGGGGAAAAGGCCTGGAATGGACCCACTTAACTTCTCATGTCAACCCCAGCCACAGAAATAGCCATCCAAAAAGAGACTCATATCTTGAAACCTATTAATGGTTGATACACAAACTATGCTTCCTTAGTTCAGGTCCGATTTGCTGAGGATAGTGAACCTTGAGTTAAACCTGGCCATAATTTTGAATGGACCAGAGCTGATTAATGGTTTTGCATAGAAACTGTAAAACTTAGTGGTTTCCTTTTTAACCCTAAGGATATGTCTACACTGCAATGCTTTTTTGGGATACTGGAGTATCTCGAAACAGCTATCCTGCATCTTCACAGCAAGCCTGCAAACCTCATTCTACAAGGATGTTTCAGAATAGAGCTTTATTTTGAAATTTGGAGCTACGTAGACAACGCCAAATAACAAAATAAGCTACTTTGAAATAGCATTGAAATAAGATACACAATTTCTGTAGCTCAAATTGCATACCTTATTTTGAATTACAGTGCTGTGTAGAGCACTCCCTAAACAAGGCAGAGTGTGTTGCCTTTGAGTAAAGCTGGTCTCTTTTTTTTCTCTCTCCTGTTTTTTACTTTTCTCACCTTAAACACATTTTTCACACTCATTTACTGTCTTCCCACTAGAAACAAGTTACAAACCAGTAAAAGAAAAGCGTGAAAAAGTAAAGAAAATCATAGTTTTACTGTTATCCATCTGGAAACATTTTTAAAACAGCAAGCATTGTTACAATTTCTTGATTTGTTTTAAATTTTTTGAAGAAAGCGGATTGTTTTGACCTCCGTATTTCAACTGGACATTCTTCCCATCAAATGATTATATGAAATATTTTGTTTTTCTGAGTGGTTCTAGTTTTGAATGCAGTTTGCTTTGTTGTGTCAGGATTTGTTTGGAGGATAAACTCAAAGGGAAATTTGCACAAACTGTACTTGAAACAGAAAATGCTGAATTTTAAATGGCTCTAACCATGATCTCTGTCCAAAAATCATCTCAGTCAAGCTAAGGAATTTGAATGAGGATCCAGATCCATATTTCAAGCATGGCAAAGTTCAGTTTGGCTCATTATAGCAGTGAAATCCAGATCCCAGATTTTGAGTGACCCTAAATTTAGGGGTTTTATTTTAGCTTCTTTTCTTTTGATGTACAGTGCTGAATGCATCCTTGATCTTTGCAGGTAACACTTCAGGGGGCTCCATTTCACACTTCCCCATTGACTTTGATGGCCTTGGGATCAGGCCCTAAAAGAAAATCCACAATTCTCACTTCATTTTTATTTAAAATGTACCCTTGTATTCTTTTTTGCCTAGTAATGATTCAGGCACAATGATTCGTTCACTTCATGGGCTGCATTTTTAGTAATGGCAGACCTGTGTCATTAATAAAATGGCATATCAGGCTAAGCCACTTACCACTTCCTTGGATGACCTCCTTTTGGATTCTGTGTTTTGGCCATTTTCTTCATACTGCCACTTTTGCCAAACTTTTCCTGGCTTCTTGCACAATATTAGAAGAAAGCCTTTCAGGCTGTTTAAAAATTTGCAACCAGATCATGTACTGTATGTCTTTGAAAAGAAGAAAATACAAAGACAGAGACAGAATGTGATAGAATTTTACTTAATGCATTGGCATGAAGTGTAAATACATACGGCATACAGACACTAAACTTCCCCAGCTCTGCTATGAAATAATTACCCTGGGGAACTCAGTGTAAAATAAGTCCTATATAACCATTCAAATATGGATGATGTGATTCAGGTGACCTCTTCTTAATACAAAAGGTCAGCTACCAAGTAGAAATGTGAATGTTTACTTAGTAACATTATTATAGTTTACCCTAGAAACAGAATAAAATTATGTTTAAAACTGTAATGCCAGTAACTATTATTTGCATGATGTATAGGAGAGACTATACTTAACATCAGTGATTTGGTTTCTTCATGTTTGCCTTTAAATTCTGCTGATCAGTCCCATTTACAGAGTCTATGTACTAAACAAAATGATGGTATGACTCCATAAAGATCTGTGTCCAAAGCCAATTAATGCCACCAGTGTAATTAGTGATCATGTTTGGGTACATAATGGATAATACACAGTATACAATAGATCAGCACAATCATTTGTCTTTTTTCAAAAAGGTGCTTTTAGCCACACGATGAAAAATCCCTTTCCCCATGAACAGGAGTATCCGAGACTCATATTGTACATGGCATTAGTAGATTTCTGTATTGAAGCACTCTTGATTTCTAAAAGCCATGTTGAAGATCTTTAATTTTTCTACTGACCAAACAGACAGACAGATAAAATAAGGATCCTTCTGGCAATAAGAATGGCCATGCTGGGATGTACAAATGGACCATCTCGGCCTATATCCTGTCTTTTTATAGTGACCAGTGCTAGACTCTCTTCAGAGGAAATGGGCAATTATTGAGTAATCCATCCCCTGTCAGCCATTTCCAGTTTCTGGCAGTCGGAGGTTCAGCGACACCCAGAATCATGGATGTTCTAGGTCAACTGCTTAATCTTAGTCTAATGTTACAAATCTCCACATGTATGGGGCAAGGTGCAAGTCATGTGGAACAATGTGGTCTGAACATAGACTTGGAAACCCGACTTTTAATCCTCTCTCTGAAATATCTAGGTCTAAAGAAAGTTCCTTAACTTTTACATGTGTCAGTTTCTCCGCCTGTAAAGTGGGGATAATAATTATTTCCCCAATTCCTGATAATTTAGCTAATTTTAAAGCACTTCAAAAATGTAAACTGGAACAATTTGTAATTGTTAAGTAGCTATTATTGAGGCTGAAGAATGAAACAATTTTTAAAAATAATTCAGTCTCAATAGCTAAGCCTTAATGAATTCAAGTGGAGATTCGTCATTGACATTATGATGCCAGAATTTGGCTCTCAGAAGAGATGGGTCCAAATCAAAGTATCACAGCTATCAACACGTTTCCAATAAGCTACAGGTGTGGCCACTAGTGAATTAATATGTAAATCAAATGGAGTCTCTGACCCTCTGATAAGTTCCTCTCCTCAATATTTTTATCCCCTCAGAAGCAACTCCTATAGTGTTGCTTGGGGGAGAGGGGTGACACAGTGACACTTTCTTTTCCTATGGAAAGCAATGTTATAGCCCGCTATTTGTGAATGAATCACATCAGGTTTGGACTTAATCTATAGCAAACGATCTCCAAAAACCTTACTTCTAAAAATGCGGCTATACTGCCATCAGATTTGGATTTGTCACTGTAGCAGCATTGTTTCCAGTTTCCAAGGTAATTCTTAGAGGACAATAGTAAGTGATGGCATTGTACATTATGTTTCAGAATAGATCTCAAAATATTGGCCTTTACTTATGTCATCTGAACAGTCATTTTGCTGAAGGCAGACAACATATTTCATAACCTACTTTCAACCATCTCTAGTTTTAGTGCCACATTTTATTCCAGTTCTAGGGACTAAAAAAACACCTCTGTTCTCTTTAGCTGTCTTTATATGCTATCAATATTCTCCTTTCCCAAAGGGGGAAAAAAAACCTGACTATACTGAATGGAAAAGAAAAATGTTCAGAGGATGACTGAGTATTCCTCTGTAATTTAAATTAATATGGGGCTCATTCAAATTCAAGCTCAATCTTTGCATTATGTCTTTGTGACTCATAGACGACATTAACATACAGAAATTGCATAAACTTTAAATTTTGATTAAAAAAACGAATATTGAAAATAACCATCTATACCAGATACTTAGAAAAGAGTCAGACTCTAATATCTCTGGCTAAACAACATTGAGAAGAAAAAAAAACCACACAGTATAAGCAGAAAGAGAAAGAAAGAAAAAAATTACCCAAATCGTAGTCTGAACTTCAATTCTATTCCAGCAGGGTCAGCAAAATGAAAGGTCAGAAATAAAATAACAGTGTGGGTGGGTGAGGGAGAGAGGGATGGAAAAAGAGATCAATGATTAAAAAAAATAGTTTGGCAGAAAATGAAAGGTCCTATATTTTGCAGAGGTGAAAAAGACAGCTAAACTAGTTCCAAATGATAACAGAGACCTTTCAATTTATTCCAGCAATTGCAGAACATGGCGTCAGGGTGGAGGGGGAAAGGTGAGGCACCAGGAGGTATAAGGCTGAAATAATGTCAAAATACGAGCAGCCTATAGAAAAAATAAACAAGCATAATAATAAATGAGGGGTGTATTATTGCCTGATTGCACATGCATTAGGCTCCAAAACAGGAAGCATGCACTCAGTTTAAGAGGAAAGCATGTGAGTTTCAGATTGCATGGAAAGTGACAGTACCACATGCAGTGTTTAATGAGTTTTGAGCTTGGTAACTATGCCTAAAAAAGGTTTTCACAGCTGCTTGGCGAGAGCACCTAGAAAACAACTTTTTAATACCCCTGGTGGATAGTTGATCCAGAGATGGATTATAAAATCCATGAACCAATTATTATTAATTATTATTATTTATATGGACCAGGAACTGAGCTTGGTAAGTACTGTAACAGAACAAAAGACAGTTCTGTCCAAATATTGTATTAATAAGGCCTGATTCTCTCGGCTGGGTTAGTGCCTGAAGTTTTGTAACTCAGTAAAGCTTCAGTGACACTCAGAAACACTAATATAGCTTTAGAATGTTCATTGACTTTGTACAAGCTGAGAATCTGGCCCACTGACTACACATAAGTGATGCCCAATTAATTTGCACCTTTCTGATTGAGAGGGGAAGTGGAACTGTGGACTTCATCAGATGTCTTCAGTAATTCTGAAATTGGGTCCCAAAATCATTATAATTTTTGGTCTTCTTTCCTCACATTGGCCAATTTATTATGAAACCTCTGTGGAGAGTAATTGCAGAAATCAAGTCCTCCAAAATTGGAAACACGGTCAGGAGGCTTTCTCCAGAGCATGACATGAAATTGCTGAAACAGTTGCAAGAAAGAGCAGAGAGATGTATGATGTGTTTGTATTGCAGGGAATTAATAATCAAGAGTGTGATTATCATAGGCAGGTGCAAGAGATGTGCTTTTCCACAGTTACTCTTCAACATATATATTGACCATATGGTGCATGAAAGTGGATCATGTAAACCGCATTAGAAGCGTAAAAAACTGAACCATATAATGACTGTACAGAAAGAACAATCTGAGCAAGGAAGAATAGATTAAGGCAGTCTTATTTGCACATAATTTGTTCCTTTGTGAAAGTGCTGAAGATCTTAAAAGCCTTTGTAAATGCCTTTAAGGGAATATGACAGAAAAAGGACCTCAAAAATCAATAGTCTTGATTCTTTTTCTCCTAGTTTGCATTAGTGTAACCTACTAGCTGAGCCTGTGTAATTTGGATGTCATCTAAATTTGCAGTTCAGACAGACTGATAAATGTAGCTCAACAAGACAGAGCCTTGTCTGTCTGATTGTGACTAATGTAGAGAAAATGAGGTGTCTGATAGGGAGCTCAAAACTGCCATTGCTCATGTAAACTGGAGATTTCAATTCTTCACTCCCTTCCAGTTACAAATTACATCAGGAAACAAAGTATACATAAAAAGTACGCAGGAAATCTGCTTTTTTCATTGCTCATTTCTGCAGATGTTTCAACCTACTTTGATATCACAAAAGAATTAAAGAGAGAAAATGATTTTTGTGTCATTCATCAAAATTATTTCCTTTTCCTTGGGGGGGGGGGGAGAAAATACCATAGGCAACAAGCTGTAATAATACTCAATGAACACTAATTTATTTGACAGAAGGTTTGGAACTTCTCAGATCATTCTGATACAATCTTGCCTGCTCTCAAAATGTCTCAGGACTGGCTGAAGAAATTTGATGGGAAATTAGTCTCTGTCCCTTTAATAGCAGAAGTATGGGGGGATGGGAAAAGATGTCTTTAAAGCAGTGATGAAGAAATTGGTTGACACATAATGACAACCCCTTACACATCTCTCCGACTCGATACTGGAGACATAAGATGCTTTTAATTCTCTGCCTGCCATAGAGGACAGCAGCAGGAAAAAAGCAGAAGAAACAACACTAGTCTAATTCTTGCAATAGCTTGTGAAATAGGACATTGTTCTTCTCTGACATTTAGACTACAGCCGCATCTTGTCTGATGAAGAGTCTGAAAATGATGAAGAAATGTTAATTAGTTAAATGGCCTTCTCATTGCAATCTACTGCTCTGATCCTGCAAACACTTGTTCACATGGTTTGCTTTACTCACATGAGCAGTCCCATTAAAGTCAATGGGATGTGTCACAAATGAAGTTAAGCAAATGAATATTTGCAGAATCAGGGACTAAGTGACCATTTGACAAGCATTTGATACTAACATAGACCAAACAAATTAAATAAGCTTAAAATCTATGTTTAAAGCTTAAAAGCTTTTGACGCATCCATGCACCTGCTCTTGTTTAATATCTATAAGAATACTATATTCTTTCTGTTTTTAAAATGGCCCAAGTCCAAAAATAGTGATTCTAATAGAAAATATTGTATCCATTGTCAGAGAAAGAGCAAGCATTTATTTTACAATGCTGAAATATAAAGGTTCCCTAAGCCAATGGAAAGATTCCCATTGATTTAAATAGTCTTTGGATCAGGCCCACATAAACCAGCTGGTTAAATATACCATATACAACAAAGAATTGGGAAATCAGGAGTGGATTAATTTAGTATGGATTCATGAGATCCTTCTGAAACTGGGAGCACTTACTTAATATAGGTGATTATTGTACTAGCATTTCCTTGCTCTCTCTGGGTATGTCTAGACTACATGCCTCTGTTCGCAAAGGCATGTAAAATAGGCTACCCAACATAGTCAATGAAACAAGGATTTAAATATCCCTGGCTTCATTAAAATAAAAATGGCTGCCGTGCTGTGCCGGATCAGCCCCTGTCAACCAATCCACATCTTGACTGCTGTGCTGTGCCAATGATCAGCTGATCCGGCACTGAGCGATAGCCATTTTTATTTTAATGAAGCCAGGGATATTTAAATCCTTGTTTCATTGACTATGTTGGGTAGCCTATTTTACATGCCTTTGCGAACAGAGGCATGTAGTCTAGACATACCCTATATGATCACTTATTTGGACAAATAGTCTAGATTTCCCCTCCTGGAAGAAACAGAACTTGATTCATTGCCTTCTGCTCCTGCGGTGGATAATCTGCAGTCCATGGGCCACATGTGGCTTATCAGGCTTTTTCGTGAGGCCCACAAAAACATTTTGTTTGCTGTTTCCCATGTGCAGGATTGCCAGATTCCACTGGTTTCCATCTGCAGGTTTTTTTCCTATCAGTATTCATGGGCGGCCCGTATGCTTGGTGGAGAAAGGCACTGCCTTCCCAAACCACCAACCTGGCCCCGCCCACACTCTGCCCCCAGAATGTGCCCGCCCCTCCCTGTGCGCCAAGGCTGGAGAGGGTGGGTGGGGCTCAGCCCACTATTCCCATGATGGGGCGTGGCCTGGGCAGAAAGGGCGGGGTAGGGGTAGGGATGGGGTTCAGCACTTGCCTCTGGGGTTGAGCACTTGCGTCCCCCAGTCCTAACTTCACCAACCATCTATGTCAATATTTCTAAAGTGATGTGGATGTAAAGCAAAGGCATGTGAAGTAAGGTGCCTGCTGATTGCACACAACAAGGACTGTGAGAGCCATGTGGTCCCTCTGCATCTAATCCAAGCTCTGCAACACTTTAGTAGGTACACCAGGCGAATTCTAGGTACACAAGAGCCTTGCTAAAACTACCCCATCATGACAGAGACTAACCTAGGTTGCCCATGTGGCTGTACCCCATTCTGATGCAGAAAAAACTCCTAGGAATCTCTTTACTTTTGGACTGGCTTAAAATGTCTTCACACTGCCTTTGCCCTGAGATCACCAGGACTGCTCCATACTGCTAGCCAGCAGCTTCGATTTGTTGACAGGCAATATCAGGAAGACCCTTTCAACCTTAGGCAGAGCAGATGTCTTTATGTTTTACACCATTCTAAAGTAGCCATGTATGCTGGGAAATAGATTTTGGTTGTTTCTTTTGACTTGAGTGTGGCAGAGGTGGAGATGGAAGTTTCCTTAGGGTTAGAAAAAAAATGAAATCCAGACTGTCAGCCCTGAGCAAAGGGGAAGTGACATGGCATATAAGAGGCGTGGCATATGCTGCCTTGGGGTATGGCTACACTAGCCACCCTAGTTCAAACTAGGATGGCTAGTGTAGCCATACCCTTACAGTATTGTGATGCAGTGTGATTCAGTGACATACCTTTTGGGCAGAGTTTCCTCTCTGTTTCCTCCTTACTCTCAGGAGGAAGTAATTTACTGGAGCCATTACTAATGGTAATACATTATTACCAGCCCTCTGCACTGGCTTAGCTATTCTGGCCAGGCAGGGTACGTTCATGCCACACACCAAGTCTGGGCTCTTCCGTCCATAAACAGATTTGTTTGACTCAGGACAGCAAGCCCTAAGGGTGTGGGTCCAAGGCCCCTGCTAATGGAACTGGGTTCTGTTGTGACCCAAGTCCAAGCCCAGTCATTTCACAATGTGGATGCAGTAGTAGTGGCAGACCCAAGGCAGAAGGTCTGCATAGTGTGGTATGGTTAGGGTGAACGTGGCTGAGAGGCCTGGATCCAGCAATTGTAAATGTGGGTTAATAATGTAATTGAGCCTTTCAAATGTGGACGTGGAATCACTGAGGGTATGTCTACACTACAAAGTTAATTCGAACTAACAGCCGTTAGTGCGAATTAACTTTCATAGGGGCTACACATGCAAACCGCTATTTTGAATTTATTTAAATAGAGGAGCACTTAATTCAAACTAGGTAAACCTCATTCTATGAGGAGTAACACCTAGTTCGAATTAAGTAGTTTGAATTAAGGGCTGCGTAGCCACTTAATTCGAACTAGTTGGAGACTAACCCTTCCCAGCTTGCCCTGGTTGCCATTCTGGGCCAAACCAGGGAAACTCTTCTGCCCCCCTCCTGGCCCCAGAGCCCTTAAAGGGGCACGGTCTGGCTACAGTGCTTGTGCCAGTTGCAAGCCTGCCAGCACCCAGCCAGCAGACCCTGCACTTGGCATAGCATAAGCCAGCCACCCACTGCCACCCAGCCCTCTGCCTATTCCCAGGACCAGGCTGGTGGCTCCTAGGAGCCTGCCCGGGGCCGCAAAAGGTGGGTGCCCGCCTGGTCTAGTGCAGAGATCGTGGACCTCATCGAGGTTTGGGGGGAGGCCTCCAACGTCCAAAATCTCCGCACTAGCCACAGGAACGCAGCCGTCTACAGCTGCATGGCTGCCAGCCTGGCCACCAGAGGCCACATGCGGACCCAGGAGCAGGTCCACTGCAAAATCAAGGACCTGCGGCAGGCCTACTCCAGGGCCTCCAAGCCAGGGACCGACCC